TGTCTGTTCGGACGAAAATTAAAACGTTGGATTAAGTACGTGTCGCTAGCTTTAGGTCAAACTGGTTATTTCATATATATGACATCGAAACATCCTTCAAAGTTAACAAACGGATTCCGCTAGATGAATTTTTTTCTTTTAGTGTTAGATTCTGTAAATAAATACAAGGAAATATATAATGTGTAAAATGTCTTGAAATATAAAAAAGTTATAACAGTTTATCGAAGCCTGGCGCATTATCGCTACGTATCGACAGTTTTTAATGAAATAAACCATCATGGGATATGTGTCAGAAATTGAGTAGACAGGTGGATATCGATAATATTGAGCCTTAGAAAACGGTATTTTTCGAACATCCGATCACTTGTAGTTGTTTCCGTATGTACCATTCAATTTCAAAATTATATAAAACGGCATAAAAAGTTTGAAAACTGCAACTAAATACATGAAGAATTCAGAGTATTGCATAATGCATTTTAGAATTGACTTGCAATCGTCACCCATTGTTCCTTTGCGATATATTTGTAGAATACTTATTTTTAAATAGATGATTAAGACAAAAATCATTTAATAAATTATATAATTCTTTTCTAAACGTTCTAGCAGTTAATGTAAATATATAAAATGTTAAGCATGAACTGATATTTGTCAAAAATGTGGTTATAAATGATGTAAAATCTTCTATTATTATTTGAATTGAACTTTTTTTCATTGATTGTGTTAATGTTGAATATAATGTATGTATTTGATAAGGCATTATTAATAAGATATGAACTGAAACTTGAAAAAGTAACATCGTTATTAATTGATAGTCTTTAGATCTTATACGATTTGCAACACTGTTTGTATATGTGTTTAGTTTTATACGTTGGTGCATTTTTCGAACATTAAGTAGTGTCATACAACCAAATATGCCCATTAATAAGGGCATAGAAAGTCCGACAACAATTAAATTCCAGAATGGATTAAATGTTTTATAAACATTTGATATTATACCACATATACCATCTTTTATATCTAAGAATAGAAGAATGTGTATTTGAACGATAAACCAAAATAAAGTATTAATTATTAATAAACGATATGCATTATTTAAATGACAGAAATGTCTTATACGAACGTTTGATGAACTAGATGCATAACGATCCACACATGCTATGCTAAGTGAACTTCTATCTAACATAGTAAATACAACCGATAAATACGCTCTTAATTTACAAAATAATGATATTCCATTGACAGGACTTATGTTATAACCATAATTTAATAACTGAGTTAATAAGCCAAAATTTAGTACTAAAAAAGTCCCTATTGATGTTGCTATAAAATACACAGAGCATGAATTTGCTCTTAATGATGGTTGTAAAAATACGCATATATTTAATATACATCCTATATTACCAAATATACTGAAGAATGTCATACCATAACGACCTAATTGAAGTTGAATAAAATTTAAAGTAGATGAAAGTGTGCTTCCATTTAACGATACGTTACTCATAGCCATAATGTAGGTTAAGAAATTGAAAAATAACTGCTGCTCATGTCAGCGTTTATATATTTATATTACTTTGCTATTGAAAAGTCGAGTTTTATGACGAATATGAACTGTCATATTTTCTTTTATTATTAAATTCTAGAATATGATAACCGATTATATAAGAGAAAAGAGCTTTTAAACATAATTAAGGAACTCGTGATATCGTCACGAAACATTTGATTTAATCTTCTTTCTTTTCAGGAAGAAAGTAAGAAATAATTCTATTATATTTTTCGAAGTCTAACGAGAAAACCCTTTCAATTGTCAGATCGCTTTAGAGTCCGTTCTACTTTTCATTGATAGTATCTATGACACTGATCAATACCCTAAGTTGATTCGGTTGTCTGAGCCTCTGGAGTCAAGGGGTGAATTTTTCAAGTTTTTGGAAAAAATCTCATTTTGATACAAATCTTAAAGATCTGGAAATACAAAATTTCTCGGAGTCATTACAGATGTAAAGCAAACATTCTCATATGAAACGCATACGTGGCAGAATATATGTATCTAGTATACAGCCGATGCATCTAGATGCAAAGAAAAGACGAAAGAGACAAAGAGAGAAAGAGAAAAGGCGAAAGAGACAAGAGATGGATGAGAGGAGAAGATGAGAATGGGCCGCTTCCATCTTTACATCTAGATGCATCGACTTAGACTAAGTCATATATTTTGTCACCCCTCTGAAAATGGGTAATATGTATGGGAAAAGATATTTTCCTCCTACTTTTCACAAATGAATCTTTTTAGTTTTGTGCTTAAAAACTGCACGTGACGGAATGCATAAGAGTAATATTCCATGTATAAGTAATACTAAAAAGTATTCCTATTACGAGTAACAGTAATTATTTTTCGGTATTACTGTTGCTAGTAATAGGAATATTCATAACAAAACAGCCATAGACCTTATAATTTGAGAAGGATAATAGAAATTTCATCAGGAAAAANCTCCTACTTTTCACAAATGAATCTTTTTAGTTTTGTGCTTAAAAACTGCACGTGACGGAATGCATAAGAGTAATATTCCATGTATAAGTAATACTAAAAAGTATTCCTATTACGAGTAACAGTAATTATTTTTCGGTATTACTGTTGCTAGTAATAGGAATATTCATAACAAAACAGCCATAGACCTTATAATTTGAGAAGGATAATAGAAATTTCATCAGGAAAAAAGTAGAAAATGTTCATTTGATTTTTCAAAGTTTTCTGGTATAAATATTCATCCAACAACACGAGAGAAAATATGATGAACATTGTTTTGAAAAAAAATTTCATGTATTACTTTACTGAAAATACTAATTTTATGAATATTCGTATTACTAACAGTAACAGTAATCCCGAAAAGTATTACTGTTACTGGTAATAGGAATATTTTTCAGTATTACTTATACATGGAATATTATTCCTACGCATTTCGTCACGTGCAGTTTTTAAGCACAAAACTAAAAAGGTTCATTCGTGTAAATATCTTTTCCCATACATATTACCCATTTTCAAGTCATTTTTATAAAATTAAAATCTTTTCCTTTACTGAGATGAACTGATGAACATAAAAACACAGGCCAGATGTAACTTTCGATGCTCTATTCAACTATATATAAATCACTGCATTTGGTCAATGGATCAAAAGTGATGTAAAAACCAATAGGAGACCGGCCTCAAATACAGGGCTTGTCCTAAAACGCGTGTAAAATCATAAAAAAGCTCGCCGACGTCTCGCTTTATATGAGAATGTTTTCTCTACATCGGTAATGACTCGGAGAAATTTTGTATTTCCAGATCTTCAAGATTTGTATCAAAATGAGATTTTTTCAAAAAACTTGAAAAATTCATCCGTTGACTCCAGAGGCTCAGACAACTGAACCAACTTAGGGTGTTGATCAGTATCATACATACTATCAATGAAAAGTGGAACGAACTCTAAAGCGATCGAACATCTGGAAAGCTTCCCTCGTAAGCTGTCAGTTTTCTACAAATACAAAACAGAACATTTTAACCCATTTTTGTAATATATACTGGAAGTTTTAATCTCCTTTTTCTCGTTACTTTTATCACATAAACAACTAAACACTTGTCCAAAGAACGGGAGCTGCTTACCATTTCTTTTCAAGATAGCTTTGTTTAGTGCACTAAACAAAGTCAATGTAACTACTTTCGCCGGTTTCATTTGATTTTGAATGCTTGAAAAGAACTGCTAAGCAGTTCCCGTTCTTTTGAATACAGGTGAATATTATCTGATCGATGATCAAAATTAAATTGGATGAGACAAAAATTTTCAAATTCCATGAGAAAAACCAATAGCAATACAACAACAATAACTTTTTCTATGAGAATATCGACACAACTGGTTCAGATTTATTGTAAAATTGTACTTAGCAAATTCAAATTGTTCTTGCGGTACTAAACAATGAAGTAGAGAAGAGATTAATAGCGATTCTTTAATTTTTAATCTTATGTCGTTAGAGGTACTAGCTGTTATTTCAGTATCAGCGAAATCAATAACACGTCGCTTTTGCCATGCATGTGTTTCTACAGCAGATTTGCCGATGACTTCGTGCGTAACGTCATCTTTATGTTCCTGTGCATAGACATCGTATGATTGTACAATTGTAATGCTGGCCGCATGCACCACATTTTATATTATACACGACTCCCAAACACATAGTTTCACCGGTACGACCTTTTGCATTAAACAGTGTCCCACTTCGTTAACTTTTCCAAACTAGTAGATGAGGAAGCCTCTAAAACGATATATAAAAGTAATAATCTGTTCGTTTCACTGACTTGTAATGTGCTCGTATGAATATCCACAGATTCTCTTATAAACAATCGATAAGATGTGTGATTTTTAGCTAATATTTTGACTTTATAAAACCTAATAGAGTGATCAGTTTATCACAAACAATATAAATAGTATTCTCTATTGGAATGTTAGTAAATCAACTTCTTGTATGAAAACTTAATATTCTATACTTAGACATACAGTGGCGACAAAAATTTTCCGTACACCCTTATCCTCTATTTCTTTTGGTCATAACTCGGTAACGAAAAAAGCTTTTGACAAGCAGTTTGAATTTAAAATATTCCCCCTCTCTCTGGTATATTTGTAGATAAAAAAAGTTAGAAATATTCATTGTAGTTCTGTGTAGGCTCATTAGACCGAAAAGCGAAAGTTTTCCGTAGAGTTGATAAAAACCTTTTATTATGCTGTATAAGCACTGACAAAATATGAAAACTACATCAATTGATAGAAGAGAGCGCGAGCCAAATTTTGATAAAAAAATACCCTTCAAAAGCTTTTTGCTTTAGGGCGAAAAGACGACTTTAAGCCAGAAGTGTCATACCCTTCAATGTGACTGATCCAACTCAGGTATGACTGACTAAAAAAAAATTCTGATTAAGCCATTCGAAAGAGTGCTGAAAACTGAGTAAGGTGAATATAGTATTGAAGTTAAGTGAGAGACTTTGAGTCGTCTTTTAATCTTTTGACCTTGAGGCTATTTTCGAAATATCTTTTCTGCTCGAGAGGGTAAACATTTTTTTGGATATCTTTGCCTCATCATGTAGTCAACTAGTTACTGTATATGGGTATGAAAAGAGAAATTTCGACTTTTCAGTTCAGACGGAAAAATGGGTTTCTCAACATTAAAACCGGCTTTTCACCCATAAAAAACATTTTCCATCAAAACTTACTAATATCTGTTTTATTCCTACTAATATCTCGTGTATCTCACTAATGCCTCGTGTATTTTACTAATATCCCGTGAATTCCTCATACCTACATTTAAATGCTGATGTCTCATGTATTCACTAAAATCTCAGTTATTTTACTAATACCTTGTTCCTTCTGACTAAGGTCTTTTTATTTTGCTGTTATATCATAAGTTGCTACAAATAATGAATTATTTTCTCGCATTCGCCTATAATTAGAGTATGTTTAACAGGCACAAGACATCCACACTTGTACATAACGTTTAATAGCTATTAACTATTTGTATTAAAATAATACTGTAGGGCATCAGTAGTTTTTCCAGGCCAGTTTTCTTTTTGGATAATGTTAAAATATTTCAGAGACAGTTTCATCTCTGAGACGACTCTTTCGAAAGTGTCGATTAGCGATACAGTCATCGGGCAGAGTCGGTATCATCAATCGAATGGGTGGACATATTAGAAGACCCCTTGAGCGAAAGATGCAAAAACTATCCCAAGCACGAAAAAAAATCGATAAATGTACCTTTTAATCTAGTTAATCTAGCTGTAAGTGGGCACTGCAGCTACTTCTGCAGCTAGATTTTCTCGCTTACTTAGTTTTGCTTGGGAGATTACAAGACACCCCTAGCAAAATCTCCAGTTTTTTACAAGTCGTTTTTACTTGTTACTTGTACAGAATGTGATTCTTAAGGATCTTTGTGTCGAGGGAGTTTTTCAAAAACCTGCTGATAATTTGAATTTCGAACTCGAAAAAGCTGAAAAGATCGCATTTTCTCATTCCATAATAGTTCGATCTGTCTACTTACATATTCCTCAGAATTCTATTTGAAACAGGTTACATTCTATAGTTTTTTATTAAAATTCTCGCTATGCACTAAATTAATAGAATTTTAACACGCTAAGATCCGATGTTGGGAATTAAAGAGCATTTGTTATCTGCACGGTTTCAGGTATCCAGAAATCAGAGCTTCATCGTGAAAAACGTTTTCAAGAACAAAATAGAAGATCCAGATCTTATAATATGTTCACCACTTTACTAATATTACGTTTTCAAAAATAGAATAACGTTCGTGTTTTCCACTTCAGGCCACCAACGAAAAAGATTATTTTTATTCAACGTGGTTATTATATATTTTGATAATTTAACATCCAATGAAGTGCTGTTGACAAAAGTTCATTTTGTGATAACTCTTTAAACGACCTATGAGCGAACTGTAGATAATTAATTGTATTAATTAATGAACCTGCTGTGTTCTCAT